TCAGGAGACTCTCAAAGTGTCAGGAAATAAACCCTCTCTCTTTTCCTCCGTACCCACATCTCTAATAACGGGGGAACAACGGAGCTGATCCAGATTTGCTGCGTCATGACCACATTACTAAAATGTGGGCGGGCTTTACACCCACGGGCCAATCAGAACGTTGCTATCAGAAACAATGAGACGTGTTCTGGAAGTAATCTGGTCTGTGTTGACATTAGCATGCTAACACTCAGAGCTAAACTGTGCTGGAGAGAGTGTGTGTGAAGAAGCAGGAAATCAAAAGGAAGTCACCTTGTGGTAAACCTGAGAGAGAAAGAGTTTGAGCTCCATCCTGTTTCAGAGAGAATCCTTGATGTGGTTTGGAACACGATATGGAGTTTCATCAATATATATTTTTTAAAGCTACAGACCCAGAATCAGCTCTTTAGTAACAGCTGAAATAGAGGGGGGTGAGTGTTTGGTATTTTGAGTAAAACACTTCATAGACAAGGTTTTTTTATATATCTGAGACCCGTGATATCTGCTAGGAGACCGTTAAGAGAAAACTGAAGAGAGTAGAAGTAGAGGGATGATTTCAGGGTAATAAATGAATGTGCACACACTCACCGATGCACCCCGCTGTTGCACATGACGATGTGCGTGGCCCCCAATCTGGAGCAGAGCTCTGAGGAGACGCTGAGCAGCCCGACCCCCGACGCCCCGCAGGCTGTGAACTGACAGGGGGGGGTCCGCCGGGAGGAGATGAAACTCTCCATCAGACGGTACAACTCCTCCACTGCGTTCAGGGGGCGCATCAGCTGGGGAGGGGCAAAGAGAGAAGATCAGCTGATTAGGTTCTTGTGGTCCTCTGTCCGGTAGATAGACAAGAGTATGGACTCCAGACAAAAGCTTTATGAGGTTATAACTGACTTGAAACCCTGACTTCCGATGAGAGAGATGAATTGTGACTTGACAAGGAAAGTTAAAGACTAGGGATGTAGGTGCAAGACTAGTGACTTGCAAAACAATGAAAAAGTAGAATGTAACTAACTAAACACATTTCTTTAAACTTTAGGATGTTTGACTTGGCTGCTACGGCTTGTAAAACAATGACTTAGTCCCACCTGTGATCAAAGTTTACACTTCAAAAATAGATTTTGAGTTTGGTCTAAATGAAAGAAGACCTGCAACTTGGACTAAACACCAATGACTCAACTAAACTACGGATGCATTGCAGCTTGTATGAGACTCAAACCCAAAGTTAACAGCTTGTATGAGACTCAAACCCAAAGTTAACAGCTTGTATGAGAATCAAACCCAAAGTTAACAGCTTGTATGAGACTCAAACCCAACGTTAACAACTTGTATGAGACTCAAACCCAAAGTTAACAGCTTGTATGAGACTAAAACCCAAAGTTAATGACTTGCATGAGACTCAAACCCAAAGTTAACGACTTGTATGAGACTCAAACCCAAAGTTAACAACTTGTATGAGACTCAAACCCAAAGTTAACAGCTTGTATGAGACTCAAACCCAAAGTTAACGACTTGTATGAGACTCAAACCCAAAGTTAACGACTTCAATGAGACTCAAACCCAAAGTTAACAACTTGCATGAGACTCAAACCCAAAGTTAACGACTTGTATGAGACTCAAACCCAAAGTTAACAGCTTGTATGAGACTCAAACCCAAAGTTAACAGCTTGTATGAGACTCAAACCCAAAGTTAACGACTTGTATGAGACTCAAACCCAAAGTTAACGACTTGTATGAGACTCAAACCCAAAGTTAACAGCTTGTATGAGACTCAAACCCAAAGTTAACAACTTGTATGAGACTCAAACCCAAAGTTAACAACTTGTATGAGACTCAAACCCAAAGTTAACGACTTGCATGAGACTCAAACCCAAAGTTAACAGCTTGTATGAGACTCAAACCCAAAGTTAACGACTTGCATGAGACTCAAACCCAAAGTTAACAGCTTGTATGAGACTCAAACCCAAAGTTAACAACTTGTATGAGACTCAAACCCAAAGTTAACAGCTTGTATGAGACTCAAACCCAAAGTTAACGACTTGTATGAGACTCAAACCCAAAGTTAACAGCTTGTATGAGACTCAAACCCAAAGTTAACGACTTGCATGAGACTCAAACCCAAAGTTAACAACTTGTATGAGACTCAAACCCAAAGTTAACAGCTTGTATGAGACTCAAACCCAAAGTTAACAGCTTGTATGAGACTCAAACCCAAAGTTAACAACTTGTATGAGACTCAAACCCAAAGTCAACAGCTTGTTTGTCTCAAAACAATGAATAGTTCTAAAATTGGATTTTTTTTGGAGTTGTTTTTAATGCGGGAAAAAAAGATTGGGTTTTTGCCTTTTCTCTGTTTTATATCATATTAAAGATCGTGTTTTTGTGTCTTGTCCTGAAATCATCATGAGTTTCTCTCACCTTATCGATGAGAGCAGCTTTAGGAGTGGAGCTTGGCGTCAGATTGGACTGGTCCAGGTAGAAAGCCCTGAGGACACACACACACAACATGTGAGTAAAAACACATCTGTGTGTGTGAAGCGTGAAGCACTCAGCATCCATCAGCTGAGTAACGGGGTCCAGCTCAGCAGAATCACACGCTCAGCATCTCTGTGTCTGGGCGTCACTCCAACTCATTCATTCATGCAGAGCAGAGGGAGCCATTCCCTCTCTCTCCACAGGGGGCAGCACTTTATGAGTCCCAATGAAGTGCACACTCAGCAGTCAGCATCAGTGAGTAATCCAGCAGTTATAAATAGAAACACCATGATTAACCCCCTGTAATGAAATCACTTCTTCTCCAGCAGAGAGGAGACCTGCTTTCTGAAATCAGCTCGAAGAGGAATCATCTCTCCGAGCTGTTTCTCCCTGATTCAAGAGACTGATTATAAACAAGGAATTCAAAGCCATGGAGAAGCATGCTCGCCAAACAATGAACTATATACTTGATAATGCAGCGCTGCAGGAAACAGTACGTATGAACAGGCACTTAAAGGGAGAGTCACCCCCAAAATAATCATTTATATATCAATGACTTCCACAGATAACTTTGTATTCTGGAAGAAAACAGGTTGTTTCTTGCATGCTAACAAATGGACTGTTGCGTTTAAAAAAAAAGCAATATCAAAGATAATCTACATTTGAAATACATGTTGGACTCATCGAGGATGCACAAGACAGAGGCCCTGATTTCCTTACATTCCTGAGCGTATTTCTGCATTTTTTGAACCATGCAAAAGTGCCCTGCAATATTTCAAAGTATCATGGGGTGAGTAATTGATAAGTAATTATTGTATGGGTTAAAGTGTCCCTTTAAGTCCAGTTCCTGCCGTCGTTAAGGCTAAGCAAGTGTGTGATCTCATCAATCTCAGATGTTCAGGTGCACATTTCTCTCTTGTTGAAGTTTTCCAGGTGCTTCATCTCCCTGTGAGCAAATTACCCTTTAACCTTTTGGCATGCTTTATTAAATCACTAGGAGCTGAGTTAGCGGAGGGTTCAGAGCTAACAGCCCGTGTAATTGTTTCAAGATGGCCGTGTCATTTAAAAGCTGCTCACAGTATAAACGACTTAAACGGCATCTCGTAAAAAGCACTGAAGGCAAAACAGGAAGCTCGAAATACTGGATTTACTGCTGATGTTCAGGTGTATATCAGTATGTAGTGTCTCTACTTTAAAGAGTCCTCTCCTGCTGATGTTCAGGTGTATATCAGTATGTAGTGTCTCTACTTTAAAGAGTCCTCTCCTGCTGATGTTCAGGTGTATATCAGTATGTAGTGTCTCTACTTTAAAGAGTCCTCTCCTGCTGATGTTCAGGTGTATATCAGTATGTAGTGTCTCTACTTTAAAGAGTCCTCTCCTGCTGATGTTCAGGTGTATATCAGTATGTAGTGTCTCTACTTTAAAGAGTCCTCTCCTGCTGATGTTCAGGTGTATATCAGTATGTAGTGTCTCTACTTTAAAGAGTCCTCTCCTGCTGATGTTCAGGTGTATATCAGTATGTAGTGTCTCTACTTTAAAGAGTCCTCTCCTGCTGATGTTCAGGTGTATATCAGTATGTAGTGTCTCTACTTTAAAGAGTCCTCTCCTGCTGATGTTCAGGTGTATATCTGTATGTAGTGTCTCTACTTTAAAGAGTCCTCTCCTGCTGATGTTCAGGTGTATATCAGTATGTAGTGTCTCTACTTTAAAGAGTCCTCTCCTGCTGATGTTCAGGTGTATATCAGTATGTAGTGTCTCTACTTTAAAGAGTCCTCTCCTGCTGATGTTCAGGTGTATATCAGTATGTAGTGTCTCTACTTTAAAGAGTCCTCTCCTGCTGATGTTCAGGTGTATATCAGTATGTAGTGTCTCTACTTTAAAGAGTCCTCTCCTGCTGATGTTCAGGTGTATATCAGTATGTAGTGTCTCTACTTTAAAGAGTCCTCTCCTGCTGATGTTCAGGTGTATATCAGTGTGTAGTGTCTCTACTTTAAAGAGTCCTCTCCTGCTGATGTTCTGGTGTATATCAGTATGTAGTGTCTCTACTTTAAAGAGTCCTCTCCTGCTGATGTTCAGGTGTATATCAGTATGTAGTGTCTCTACTTTAAAGAGTCCTCTCCTGCTGATGTTCAGGTGTATATCAGTATGTAGTGTCTCTACTTTAAAGAGTCCTCTCCTGCTGATGTTCAGGTGTATATCAGTATGTAGTGTCTCTACTTTAAAGAGTCCTCTCCTGCTGATGTTCAGGTGTATATCAGTAGGTAGTGTCTCTACTTTAAAGAGTCCTCTCCTGATGATGTTCAGGTGTATATCAGTATGTAGTGTATCTACTTTAAAGAGTCCTCTCCTGCTGATGTTCAGGTGTATATCAGTATGTAGAGTCTCTACTTTAAAGAGTCCTCTCCTGCTGATGTTCAGGTGCATATCAGTATGTAGTGTCTCTACTTTAAAGAGTCCTCTCCTGCTGATGTTCAGGTGTATATCAGTAGGTAGTGTCTCTACTTTAAAGAGTCCTCTCCTGCTGATGTTCAGGTGCATATCAGTATGTAGTGTCTCTACTTTAAAGAGTCCTCTCCTGCTGATGTTCAGGTGCATATCAGTATGTAGTGTCTCTACTTTAAAGAGTCCTCTCCTGCTGATGTTCAGGTGTATATCAGTATGTAGAGTCTCTACTTTAAAGAGTCCTCTCCTGCTGATGTTCAGGTGTATATCAGTATGTAGTGTCTCTACTTTAAAGAGTCCTCTCCTGCTGATGTTCAGGTGTATATCAGTATGTAGTGTCTCTACTTTAAAGAGTCCTCTCCTGCTGATGTTCAGGTGTATATCAGTATGTAGTGTCTCTACTTTAAAGAGTCCTCTCCTGCTGATGTTCAGGTGTATATCAGTATGTAGTGTCTCTACTTTAAAGAGTCCTCTCCTGCTGATGTTCAGGTGTATATCAGTATGTAGTGTCTCTACTTTAAAGAGTTCTCTCCTGCTGATGTTCAGGTGTATATCAGTATGTAGTGTCTCTACTTTAAAGAGTCCTCTCCTGCTGATGTTCAGGTGCATATCAGTATGTAGTGTCTCTACTTAAAGAGTCCTCTCCTGCTGATGTTCAGGTGTATATCAGTATGTAGAGTCTCTACTTTAAAGAGTCCTCTCCTGCTGATGTTCAGGTGTATATCAGTATGTAGTGTCTCTACTTTAAAGAGTCCTCTCCTGCTGATGTTCAGGTGTATATCAGTATGTAGTGTCTCTACTTTAAAGAGTCCTCTCCTGCTGATGTTCAGGTGTATATCAGTATGTAGTGTCTCTACTTTAAAGAGTCCTCTCCTGCTGATGTTCAGGTGTATATCAGTATGTAGTGTCTCTACTTTAAAGAGTCCTCTCCTGCTGATGTTCAGGTGTATATCAGTATGTAGTGTCTCTACTTTAAAGAGTTCTCTCCTGCTGATGTTCAGGTGTATATCAGTATGTAGTGTCTCTACTTTAAAGAGTCCTCTCCTGCTGATGTTCAGGTGTATATCAGTATGTAGTGTCTCTACTTTAAAGAGTCCTCTCCTGCTGATGTTCAGGTGTATATCAGTATGTAGTGTCTCTACTTTAAAGAGTCCTCTCCTGCTGATGTTCAGGTGTATATCAGTATGTAGTGTCTCTACTTTAAAGAGTCCTCTCCTGCTGATGTTCAGGTGTATATCAGTATGTAGTGTCTCTACTTTAAAGAGTCCTCTCCTGCTGATGTTCAGGTGTATATCAGTATGTAGTGTCTCTACTTTAAAGAGTCCTCTCCTGCTGATGTTCAGGTGTATATCAGTAGGTAGTGTCTCTACTTTAAAGAGTCCTCTCCTGATGATGTTCAGGTGTATATCAGTATGTAGTGTATCTACTTTAAAGAGTCCTCTCCTGCTGATGTTCAGGTGTATATCAGTATGTAGAGTCTCTACTTTAAAGAGTCCTCTCCTGCTGATGTTCAGGTGTATATCAGTATGTAGTGTCTCTACTTTAAAGAGTCCTCTCCTGCTGATGTTCAGGTGTATATCAGTAGGTAGTGTCTCTACTTTAAAGAGTCCTCTCCTGCTGATGTTCAGGTGCATATCAGTATGTAGTGTCTCTACTTTAAAGAGTCCTCTCCTGCTGATGTTCAGGTGCATATCAGTATGTAGTGTCTCTACTTTAAAGAGTCCTCTCCTGCTGATGTTCAGGTGTATATCAGTATGTAGAGTCTCTACTTTAAAGAGTCCTCTCCTGCTGATGTTCAGGTGTATATCAGTATGTAGTGTCTCTACTTTAAAGAGTCCTCTCCTGCTGATGTTCAGGTGTATATCAGTATGTAGTGTCTCTACTTTAAAGAGTCCTCTCCTGCTGATGTTCAGGTGTATATCAGTATGTAGTGTCTCCACTTTAAAGAGTCCTCTTCTGCTGATGTTCAGGTGTATATCAGTATGTAGTGTCTCTACTTTAAAGAGTCCTCTCCTGCTGATGTTCAGGTGTATATCAGTATGTAGTGTCTCTACTTTAAAGAGTTCTCTCCTGCTGATGTTCAGGTGTATATCAGTATGTAGTGTCTCTACTTTAAAGAGTCCTCTCCTGCTGATGTTCAGGTGCATATCAGTATGTAGTGTCTCTACTTTAAAGAGTCCTCTCCTGCTGATGTTCAGGTGTATATCAGTATGTAGAGTCTCTACTTTAAAGAGTCCTCTCCTGCTGATGTTCAGGTGTATATCAGTATGTAGTGTCTCTACTTTAAAGAGTCCTCTCCTGCTGATGTTCAGGTGTATATCAGTATGTAGTGTCTCTACTTTAAAGAGTCCTCTCCTGCTGATGTTGAGGTGTATATCAGTATGTAGTGTCTCTACTTTAAAGAGTCCTCTCCTGCTGATGTTCAGGTGTATATCAGTATGTAGTGTCTCTACTTTAAAGAGTCCTCTCCTGCTGATGTTCAGGTGTATATCAGTATGTAGTGTCTCTACTTTAAAGAGTTCTCTCCTGCTGATGTTCAGGTGTATATCAGTATGTAGTGTCTCTACT